CGTAATTACTGCCCTTTGAGGAGTGAACAGACAGTTCGCTTCTCCCCAGGAAACGTCTCACAGCTCATGGTCTTGCTGGGCTGTCTGGAAAATGCAGCCCTTATCTGAGAGACTGTGTTCTTAGCTCTGTAGGAGCAAACAGCTTTGACAGGTGACAGATGCTGCCTCAGCTTCCTTAAGAGCAGATTCAGGACGTATTGAGACCCGCAAAACTGGGTTCACTCCATTCGGGATGTGTACCAAGTGCCTGCCGGGTATGAGGCATGGTGCCAGGCAGTCACAGCTGGTCCCCAGGGTCAGGAGAGTGTTTATCTCGAGGCATCTGTGAGCTAGCTGTGGAAGGCCACTTCCCCACCGCTGCTGCCACTGTCGAGCAGTGGGGGAGGGGTGGTCAGGTAAGGATTAGGAGATGAATATGGCCAGATCACAGCAACAGAGCCCTGCCTGCTCCAGTGGCCAAGTTCTGCATCTCAGCTCCAAGCCACACTGACTGGGGCCACAGCTGAATCTATTTAGCACGGCACCATCCTGGCTCCTGGAGCCACTGACCTGGTTGAGTCTGCTAGTAGTCTTGGGTGCCACATTGTCCTGGTCTGTAAAGCGGACTGGGACAGAAAAGGCTCTGGGGCGAGAAGCTGCAAGCCCCAGAGAGGATCAGGTGGCTCTGGCATCTGTCCCAGGCTGGCCTGCTCTGAGGGTAAACTTGGCAGCTGACGTGAAGTTTCAGACTGGGAGTACAGAAATGAACGTATGGCCAGCACACTAAGGAAGAGGGTCCAAAGAAATAAAAACCACAGGCCCGCGTTCAATCGGACATCGCAAGAGTGCATCTTATCAAGGAAGGCCGAGTACGGGCTTTTGAGATTTAATTTCCATTTTAGGAGTGTGTGCTGAGTTAGAATGTGAATGTGTGTTCTGTTTCAGCAGCTGTCAAGAAAGTGACAGAGCCTCAAGAGAAGGAGATGGCTGAGACAAAAACAAAACACTAGGCCAGACATAGGAACACTCGGAATGTTTGTGTAAAAGTTATAAAAATTTGTTTTTTGGTTTTGGTTTGTTTTGGTTTTTTGAGACAGGGTTTCTCTGTGTAGTTTTGGTGCCTGTCCCGGATCTCTCTCTGTAGCCCAGGCTGGCCTCGAACTCACAGAGATCCGCCTGCCTCTGCCTCCCAAGTGCTGGGATTAAAGGCGTGTGCCACTGCCACCCAGCAAAAAATTTCCTTTTTTAATTTTGTGCGACTATACATGATGTGTATATGGGGACATGCATGCCGTGGTGTGCTTGTGGAAGTCAGAGGTCAATTTGGGGAATTGGTTCTTTCCACCATGTGGGTTCTGGTAATTGAATTCTCACTGCCAAGCTTGTGCAGCAAGCACCTTTACCCGCTACGTCATCTTGGCAGCCCCCTCTCCCCTTTGTGTGTGTGTGTGTGTGTGTGTGTGTGTGTGTGTGTGTGTGTGTGTGTGTGTGTCAGTGACAGGGTCTTACTGTGTAGCCTAGGTGGGCCTGTCTGGAACTCACTATGTAGTCCAGGCTGGACTCGAACCTGCAATCCTCCCACCTCAGCCTTCAGAGTGCTGGGATTACAGTCACCACACCCAGCTTGTTTACAAGTGATTGTGAGGACATTTTCATTTCCTTTGAGTGCATGCTGGGAGTAGAAATGCTGGGCCATAAGGAATTGTCAGGCTGTTTTCCATAGCAGGTGTACGGTTTTACAGTTCCTCTAGCAACTGTGGGTTCCAATTCCTGGACGTCTTTGCTGACTTTTTTTATTGCCCAGTTTTAAGATTGTATCCATCCTAGTGGGGTGTGACTTTAAATTGTATTTCCCTAATGATATCTTTTCATGTGTACTCCAGCTATTTGTGTGTGGGTTTAAAATCCTTTTGTGTGTGTGTGTCTGTCTGTCTGTCTGTCTGTGTTTGTATCTACCACAAGCACCCAATAGAGGCTGGAGGAGAACATCAGTTATTCTGTGTATGCATTTGTATTACTCTTTCTTAGATTTATTTACTTTTTATTTTATGTGTATGAGTATTTTGCCTGCCCGTGGGTATGTGTGCACCCCATGTGTGTCTGGTCAGAAGAGAGTGTCAGGTTCCCTGGAACTGGAATTATGAGTGGTTGTGAGCTACCATGTGGGTGCTGAGAGCTGAACCCCAGTGCTCTGCAGGAGCAAGAGATGCTCTTAACCCCCCCCACCACCACCACCATCTCTCCAACTCCCCTCTTATATGATAGTGTCCCTCATCACGAACAAGCTCTTTATCTTAATTATTCTTTTGTTCCTATTGCTTTGCCTGCCATGTTGAAGAAATCTTGCTGGTTATGGTGACAAATTGACTGTAGTCTAGGCACCTGAGAGGTGGTAGCAGCAAGGATATTGTGAGTTCGAGGCCAGCTCAGGTACACGGAAAGTTAAAGGACAACCTGCACTGTATGTAATAAAACTTATGTCAAAGGAAACCACAACACCCAAGGGCTGGACTGGAACACTTGCCTAGGGTGTGCGAGGCCCTGGGGTCCATCCTCAGTACCACCCCAGTGCCGCACCCACGCCTCTGCTTAACCCAAGATTGTGAAGATGTCCTCTACCTCCTGAGTTTAGCTCTTAGGCTTCGGTCCATTTCCATGTCACACTGGCATGCAGTGTAGGGAAGGGATCCAGGGTCTCTCAGCCCCGTTTGTCGAAGATTATTCTTGCCGAATTCAGTCATTTTAGCGTCTGGCTGAAAGTCAGCTGACCCTGCCAGTATGAGACTTCCTTCTTAGAGTCTTGCTGCACTGTCTCCGGACCATGTCGGTGTGTCCCTGGGTTCTAGACCTCCCACTTCGAGCCATCACACAGTGTAGAAATACTGTAATTTATGGAACAGGCCTTCACTGGTGGACATCTGTGGGCACTAGCAATTTCTTGCTGTCATTGATGTTATTGGAGCTTCAGAGGACAATCGTAAGAATGTTCATTTACTGAGGGGAAACACATCGAATGTTATGTCTGTGCCAGGCACTTTCTAAGCCAGTCAGTGGGCGTGTGGATAATGAAGGAAAAGGGCCTGCAAGATGGCCCAGCAGGTGAAGTCACCCGCTGCTAAGCCTGATGGCCTCTTCCATCCTGGGGGCCACAGGGTAGGAAGGGAGTTGGTCAACTTTGGCAAGTTGTTCTCTGACCTGTATACATGCTCTGTGACCGGCACATACCTGTACATGTACACACGTGCACACATAAAAAAAAATAAGTACAAGACTCATTCCATGAGATGGAGCCCATACCTAATACTGCTTGGGTGACCAAGAACCTCAGATTAGATAACCCAGGGACCCAGGGTAAATCCAAATACTACTGTTCCTAAGTGGGGGGGGGGGAGAGCAAAATGACTCCTAATGATATCCTTCTTTACTCCGGGATTATTGTCTTACTCTGCCATCATCAGAGAAGCTTCCTCCTGCAGCAGATGGGAACAAATGCAGAGACCCACAGCCAGACATTACCCAGAGAGTAGAGATCTTGGGCCACTCAGCCCTGTGAATGGGATGTCTCCATTGTATCCTTCCCTCAGGGTTAGGGAACCCTACCAGAAGCCATGTAAGAGCCAGAAAGGATGGAGGACACCAAGAAAACAAGGCCCTCTGAATCAGCATGAGCAAAGCTCATATGAACTCACAGAGACTGAGGCAGCGTGCACAGGACCTGCATGGATTTGCAGCAGGTCCTATGGGAGCCCGTTCTCAGGTTCCTCGTGGCTTTACCCAGCAGGTTCACATAGAGGATGATTAGGACCACGGGCCTGAGTGCAGGTGTCTGAGATGGTCTGCACTTGGCTGTGCTGGGGGAAGAGGTCTTTTGCTCCACCCCTTGGTGTCTCTATAAAAACCCTGGGGCAGAGACAGTTGGGGCCTGTTGGAAAAGGTTCCAGGCCCTCTCGAGGCTATCCTTTATTTTCTATCTGTTTATCTCCACGATAGTCTCCGCAATAAATCCTTCTATCTAATATTTCCTGCTGCTGGCACTCAAGGAAACTCTGGGGAGCTGTGGGGTTGGTGGGTAAACGCCCCACAAGGTCCTCTGTATATATTACATTATGGTTTCCAGATTAGTGTTTTTATGGGACTTCTGGATGTGCGAATGAGTGGGTCTCTGATTCTTGTGCCTTCTCTTGGGCTCTTTTCCTTCCGTTTGTTTGTGTTGTCCAACTTTGATGTAATAGTTTTGGTTTTATCTTATTTTGTTATATTTTATTATTCCTTAGAAGGTTTTTTTTTTTTTTCCCCTAAAGAGAGACAGAATGGGAGTGAATCCAAGTGGGAGAGGAGGTGGGGAGGAACTGGGAGGAGTAGAAAACTGTAGTCAGGATATATTATGTAAAAAATAATCTATTTTCAATAAAAGGAAACAAGTATAAGAAAAGAAAGTACATAGGACAGTTTCAACACGGGAAGGTCATTGAGAAGAAAATACAACAGGGTCTTTGACCTGGAAGTTTGGAGATTTCTCTCAAGTGGCATCCTTTGGGCTACAACCCCAATAGTGAGAAATAACACAGAAAGCTGTTCCAGGCGCAGGGAACAAATGCAAAGGCCTTGGGGGTGGGGGGTGGGCATGCACTTGATGTGTCGGATGAATGGAAAGCAACCGGTTTCTCCTGGAAGAGCAGCTAAGGCCTGAGAGGTCCAGGGGCCCCAACCCGTGCAGGCTTAGTAAGCATGAGTTCTAGTCCTTGTATGGGAGGAGTTGCTGGAGGGTGGTAAGCAGAGGAGTGGTTTGATATAGTTTAAGTCTTAAAATAGCTGTGGTTGTTTGCTAGACACTTCTGGTTTCTAAGCACTCAAGAGTTCTCCGAAGTGAAATGACTGGGCCAATAGGCTTGGACATTTGAAACGTTCTCACCTTATTGCCTCCCCAAATGATTGTTCTGGGTTTTACCTCTGACGGTGTGGTCATCACCAGCATCATGCAGGTACCCAGACCACCCACCTCCGCTCTGCTTCCCTTGCAGGACCGTCCTTGCTGCACCTGCGCAGTAACTCTGGCTGCACAGCGGACCCCGCGGGTAACACGGGCACCGCTGAAACATGGCAGACGAAGACCTCATCTTCCGCCTGGAAGGTGTTGACGGTGGCGGGTCCTCCCGAGCTGGCCGCGATGGGGATTCCGATGCAGACAGTGACGATGATGAGGACTACTTCATCTGCCCCATCACTGATGACCCCATGTCCAACCAGAATGTCAGCTCCAAGGTCCAGAACTACTACAGCAACCTGATGAAAACAGAGTGCGGCTCCACAGGGTCACCAGCCAGCTCCTTCCACTTCAAGGTGAGTGGCCACCTGTTCTGCACGTGGGTCCGTCTCACCTATTATGAGGGATGGGGAGCTGGGGTCTCTGTTTGATGTCATAATTGTCTTCAAACCCTGGCAGTGCATTCTGGATGGGAGAGTATTCCTGTTCATCTGGGAGGTGACTGTTAGTTTAAGATACGGTGTATCACTACAGAGCAGTAGATTGAAAACCATTTGGGGCTGCAGGTGAAGACACTCACTGGTAAGCCTGATGATTGGAGTTGGTATCCCCAGAACCCACACAGGCTCCTGTAAGCTGTTTTCTGGCCTACAATTATGCCGTGGCACCTACATTCCCCCACATGGACGTGTACACACACAATAAACAAATGTAATGTTTAAAATGGGTGTTTAAAAGCCTTTCCCTGAGTCTTACCCTTTTTTTTTTTTTTTTTTTGAGAAATGGAACAAAATAGAATTTAATAGAAAATTTTGCAGAGCACTGTAGACTGCAAGACTTGGATATTGTATAATCCTTCCCTGTGTGTAAAAATTTGGCGGGTGTATTCATTGCTTACGGACCACATCTCAACATTCAAGAAAGAATGGAACAGCAGGATACAGTAAAAAACATTGAAGAGCATTAAAAAGTACAAGGATCTCATTTCTCATGCTTTGTTGTTGAGACAGGGTCTCACGAAGTAGCCAAGCTGATAATGAGCTCATGATCCTCCTGCCTCAGCCTTAGGAGTGCTGGGATTATGTGTCTGGCTCAAGATTATTTTTATTTTCCTTTCTTTCTCTTCTTTGTTTTTCTTTTTCTTTTTCTTTTTCTTTTTCTTTTTTTTTTTTAAAGACAGTGCCTCGTGAAATCTTAGCCTCATTATGTTGCCATGTCTATCTGATCTCACTCTGTAGATCAAGCTGGCCTTGAACTCAGAGATCCACCTGCCTCTGCCTCCTGAGTACTGGAACTAAAGGTGTGCATCACCACCACTACCACTACCACCACCTGCCTGTAGGATAGGATTTGCTGAAGGAGGTGGAGGCAGAAGGATCATGAGTTTGAGGCCAGCCTGGACTCTGAACTCTTAATCTTCCTGCTTCCATCTCCCAAGTGCTGGGATTATAGAGCCACCAGTCTTGGCTAAGATCTTTCTTCTTGGAGCATGTGTACAGGAATCCATCCTTACCCATGAACAGTGTATTCTAGGACTGCAGGGGATGCCTGAGACATGACAGGTACCTAAGCCTCTGTATGCTGTTTCCCCCTGTACACACAGACCTGTGATAAAGGTTTAACTCGTAAATTAGACACATTAAGAGGTTAACAGTCACTAATAGTAAAACAGAACAATTATAACAATACAGTATAATAAAGCTATGGGCTGGGGGTGTGGCTCAGTGGTAAGCTCATACACAAGGCCCTGGGCACCATCTCCAGCACCGCAGAGAACCAAACTGGGACGAACAAACTGTGAAGTGGTGGACGTGGGTCTCTCTCTTTCTCTCAAGGTATCACATTGTACTGTGTACGTGTAGATAACTTCTGTGCTATCTCTTGTTGGCCACAAGTAACTGAAACCACAGAATGGGAAGTCACAGATAAAGGGGACCACTGTCCACACCCTTCACAAATACAACAGTATAGTGGCTTGGGTTTGGTGATGGGCTTCCGGTAAAGTACTATATTTTCACTTGATCTTAGCCAAAAGGCCGAGAAATGGTAAGTACTATATTTTCAAAAAACATGTATTTAGCTGGGGATACAGCTCGGTCTGTAGAGCGCTTGCCTGGCACACACCAAGCCCTGGGGTCCGTCCCTAGCATCACATAAACATCCCAGCACTTGAGAGGTGGTGGTGGTAGAATGGTCAGAAGTTCAAGGTTATCATCAGCTCTATCTCGGGTTTGAGACCAGCCTGGGATATGAGACCATGTCTTTAAAAAAGACAAAAGAAGCTAAAAAGTGGCTCCTCTGTTGAGAATGCGTGCTGCTCTTGCAAGCAACCCAAGTTTGGATCCCAGCCTCCTCTTGAGCTGGCCCATTACTGTCTGTAACTCCAGCTCCAAGGGATGGGATGCTTTCTGACCTCCTTGGGCACCCTTGTACACATGTGGCATACACACCCACAGACATATACATACATGAAATTTTAAAAAATGAATCTTGAAAGATATATATTTTTTTAAAGACAGAACACACACAAACATGTATTGAATCTCATGCTTTTATTGAAACCCATTTAACAGGAATGAGCTTAGGAACTGAATTACGTTTTAATTCAGTTGTGTGTACTTATGGCCTATTAACGTTTCTGATATTAGCTAAACACTGAGTACAGTGAGGAAACAGTGTGTGCCCTTCTCTTTGTGATCTCACCTGTGAGGGAGGGGCAGGCTGAATTCTTGTTAACCATCGTTTTTGAAACAGTACCTTAGATTGTGTGCATACTGGAGGCATTGCATACATACCACTTCCCTTTCTGATTCTACACCCCAGCATATAGCCCTAGCCATTTGTTACTGACTGAAAAATAAAGGCTTTTAAAAGGACGTATAGATGCTGAGGTAGGGTGTATGCTTGGCCTGTCTGGGGTCCTGGATTCTGTTCCCAGCACCACCACCCATGCACGAAAAAGTCCTTTGCAATACTTAACTGCCCTCCCCTACATTTGTTTCCTGATAAAAGCTGACTTGGTGAGTTCTCTACCTTGGATACTGTCAGTGTTTGGGGGTACAGGCACAGGAAGCAGTTCTTCCACTGCCTCTGTCTGAGGGGCCCCCTGGCCCTTAAGGACCTTATCTCATGAGTCCTGGCTTCAACACAGAGAATTACAGGACCAGCCAGTTTAGAAGCAGGGTTTTTTTGTTTTGTTTTGTTTTGTTTTTATGCTTTTAGAGAGGGCCTCACCGTGTAACTGATCTGAAATTTACTGTGTAGACCAGGCTAGCCTCAAACTCACAGAAATCAGATTGCCTCTGCCTTTCCAGTGTTGAATTAAAGCCATGCACCAACCACCATGCCTAGCAGAGTTGGGGTTTCATAAAGGTATTTTTGTTTTGTTTGCATATGTGTATGATTGCATGTGTGTGTAGAAGCCATTGGATGTCTTCCTCCATCACTGTCCACTTTGTTTATTGAGGCAGGGTCTCTTTATGAAGTCTACTGATTCTGGCTAGCCAGGTTACCCTGAGGATCCTGAGTTCTGGGATCACGGGTGGCTGCCATGCCCGTGTGGCTTCTGATGTGGGTGCTGGGGATCCAGCTCCAGCCCTCAGGGGTGCTGGGGGTCCAACTCCAGCCCTCGGGTGCTGGGGGTCCAGCTCCAGCCCTCAGGGGTACTGGGGTCCAGCTCCAGCCCTCATGCCCTTTACCACTGAGCTATATCCCCAGCCCCAATGACGATAACTCAATATGGGCTTCAGCACAAGGGTTGAGAGAAAGAGAGGTGCTCAGAAGGAAAGGGAAAGCACCCCTGAGAGCATGAGTGTGGGTGCGCTTCTTAGAGTGCAGACGGACAGATGGCTGTGCACACCCTGCCGTAGGGACCAGCTGCTCAGCTCCCAGTGTTTGGTTTTTTCACAACAGTCCTCGTATGTTGGATTTTGTGAGGTTTGAAGGTTTGCTGAGAAATGTGAGATCACTGGGTGTTTCCCGAGGGGCACCTGCAGGATTACAGTTGATAATGTAAAAGTCTCGCTCACAGGGGTACGGAAGGCAGGACATCATTGTAAACAAAGTTTTACTGGGGACCTTTTGGGGATGGCTGGGGGAGGATTGGAGGCGCTAGCCTGAGGCACTGTTACTCTAAACTATCTCTCTAAAGAAAATGAACTCTCTGAGCAGCTTGTACAGGAAGTGTTTATTGTTGGGGGTGGGGTTCATGGCGCTCAGGTGATGAGTGGGTTTATTTTAACCTCACTCCTGGGGGAGGCCTCCTTTCCCTTCTCATGTCCCATAGCTTTCCTGTCTTTCTATCCTGCCTCAAAAATCTGTATTTGTCCAGTTTTTAAAATATATTTTAATAACATTTTACATGTATGTATTTAGGAAGTAGATTTGGTTTTGTGTGTGTGTGTGTGTGTGTGTGTGTGTGTGTGTGTGTGTGTGTGTGTGTATTTTATTTTGTTTGTTTTTGGCTTTTTGAGACAGGGTTCTCTCTGTAGCTCTGTCGATCAGACTGGCTTCAAACTCAGAGATCCGAGATCCGCCTGCCTCTGCCTCCTGAGTGCTGGCATTAAAGGCGTGCGCTACCCCACCCAGCCAGGTGAGGAGATTTATCAAATGTATATATAAATGATAAATGATATCAAATGTAGTTAGTTCTTTATTTTGGTTTGGTCAGAAAGCCGTTCCTTAGCTTCTGACTGAGGAGGAGGGTGTTTGTCTTATTAGGGTTCTGTCCACACCCTGGCAATGCCGTTGTAAAGGACAGGAGGAAGGTGAACCTTACTGGGCTTTGTGTAATAACATGGAGGAGCAGTTAACACACAGCGCTCTTATCCATGTTTAAGTTATCTTGAGACAGTGACTTAGCATTAAATACCTGTTACTATATTAAGATTTAATATTAAAACCATCCTCCATGACTTCAGAATTTGTCTTTTTAGAAAATGAATGATTTTAGTTCTTACAGACACTGGGGTAGAGTGGGGTTTTTGTTTTGTTTTGTTTTTCCCTTCCCAGGCTAGAGTTCCAGCTTAACTCACTCTCCATCACATAGCTCCAAAAATAACTCGGTCTCCTCTGGGTTTCTGGGCACCCTGAAGGGCAGGTTCCAGTTCATCCTGCTTTCCGTGGAAAGGCAGCTTTGGAACAGACTCCCAGTACCCCAGCACTCCACCCTAAGCTCCCCCTTTCCCAGCTTCCATCTCCAAACACAGCTAGAAAGGCTCAGTATGCGACCAGCTCCTGAGCCGGTGCAGAGAGATCTCTTTAAATGGAGAGTCTAACAGAGAGACATATTTACATTAAAATGAGTGATGTTACTAGGTAATTGTACTTTAAAAACGATGTCTGTAAATACTTCAGG